CCTCTGACATCCCCTAGGTTCCCTGATGCTCACGCTGAGTTCTCCAGTTACCCCTTCAGCCAGCCGTCCAGTGCCTGGCCTCTGGCCGAGGGGTGCCGCCCTTCCCTGCAGGAGGCATCTTCCTGTTCCTGAAGGCGGACTGGGAAGGCTGAGTCTCCCAGGCCCCGCCACCCTACCTCTCGACAGGATTTGACAAAGTGGAGACGATGACCAGTGCGGGGACCATGCCCCCTCATCTCCCCAGAGAGAGCGCGCGTGTCTGTGACGAGAACAAAGCTCCTTCTGTTTGAAAGTCCGGGTTTAAAATCCCGTGTCACAGCCACCAATTCCCAGCCTCCATCGCCTTCCGGGCACGGAGGCCTCGGCCCTTTCCTGGAGCGCGCAGGCTCCTGGCCAGGGCGGCCTCCCAGCCCCGGGGACGGGGAGGGCTCGGGAACGAGGAGCGGCTCCTTGGACAGACGAGCGGATGTCGGGGAAGCGATGGCCTCCATTAGAGGAAAGTGTACCCATTAAAAAATCAATGCCTCCCTCGGGGGGGACCGCAAATGCGTCTGGATGCGGACGGAGCACAAATGGAGGCCTGGGTCACACCTCGCCTGGTGAGCGCCGTAGGCCCGAGACTGCCAGCAGACGTTCGACCCCGAGAAGATGCTAAAAAAAAAAAAAAACAAAAAAAAAAACGGACAAAAGACAGCCCCCTCCGTATTGATGGGCAAAGGATTCATGGGACCCAACTGTCGTGAACGTGGTAACTATGGAAACGAGAACCGCCCGGGGCCATGTTGTTCACTGATGTGTTTTATAAACGGGAGCCGAGAGAGGAGACACGTGAACTTCAGTCCGTGGAGGGAGGTTTTCCGTGATGGGCACTGGCCCCGTGTGCGCGGAGGGCGCTGAGAAATGTTCACGTCCGGCCTTCCTTCCTGCGGGCCCTCCAGCCGTTACAGGTGCACGTCCCACCTCAGGGGCATCGTGGGTAATGCAGCTCAAAGTCAATGCCGTTCCCGTCCCCCCGGGGCCCAGAGCTTCTACAGGAAGCCGGCCGAGCACCACACAGCAGCGGGTTTGACCGGGTTTGACTGGAGAGCCATGCTGGGCTGGGCGGACCGTGCGGTCAGCTGACGCGGTGAGTCCTGTCCTCAGGCTCCGGCGGGATGTCCCGCCTGTGAGACCAGACAGTCATCGACGCAAACAGCATGGCGGGACCAGTTACCGGCACTGGTTTCCTCCCCCTCAGCCCAGGCTCATCAGCAGGCCCGTCCTCCCAGCAAACCAAAGGCAGCGTCCCCTCGGTCCTCCCACCCCCCACCTCCCCTGTGCGCGGCCGCAGGAGATAAACCCATGGGGGCAGGTGTGCAGTGTGTTTGGGAGGTGGGGCACAGTGGCAAGATCCTGTGGGGCAGGATCTGACTGGACACCCGCCTGCTTTATCTGCTCAGGAGACATGGAAGGGAGTATTAGCAACGTGAATGGTACTGCTTGCATACGCGTTGAAAAAGACTGAAAGCAATTTGGGTGTATTTTTGTTTGTTTTAAAATATATTTTTATCACCCTGGCTGGTTTGCTCAGTGGACAGAGCGTCGGCCTGTGGACTGAAGAGTCCCAGGTTCGATTCTGGTCAAGGGCACATGCCCGGGTTGTGGGCTCCATCCCCAGTAGGGGGCATGCAGGGGCAGCAGATCCATGATTCTCTCTCATCATTGATGTTTCTACCTCTCTCTCTCCATCTCCTTTCCTCTCTGAAATCAATAAAGATATATTAAAAAATAAATAAATAATAAAATATATCTTTATTCATTTGAGAGAGGAAGGGAGAGATAGAAACATCAATGAGAGAGAATCATGGATCAGCTGCCCCCTACTGGGGACGGATCCCACCACCCGGGCATGTGCCCTGACTGGGAATTGAACCGTGACCTCCTGGTTCCTAGGTGGATGCTCAACCTCTGAGCCACGCAGCTGGGCCAAGATGTTCTGGTTTAGGAAACAATGAGACCGGCTGCAGAGCAAGGGAAGCCCTGGGTAGGTGCGGCCGCTGCAGCCAGATGCCCAAAGGCTCCCAGGTCTGAGCATGGACCTGCTCCCCTACTCTCACCCCAGCCTGAGGCCTCCCGTTCCTTCCTCTCCCCCCCCCCCCACAGCCCTCTCTCAGCGCCCACAGACATCTCACCGAACGTACAGCCTCTGCTGCTTCCTCACGAAGGCGCGTCTTTCTCACCAGCCGGCGCCTATTAGCTCCAATCCTCCGTCCGTGTGATTGCTGACAAGTCCGCTTTGTAAGCTGCCTTGTATATCTCCTTGACTTTGCTTATCTCCCCCTGAACCCCTCTCTCTAAATCACTCTTCCCGGGATTGCTTTCCCATAAACAGCGCCGGGCGCTCGGGTGATATAAGGCGCGGCCTTTCGGAGGCGGCACTCGGCAGCTCGCTATCGATTGCCGGGCCCTGGGGCCTGACCAGCACACATCCCGCTGATGCCGGCTCTGGCCGCGGTGGGTTCCCCGGGGCAGTGCCGCGGCCTCAGCGCTTCAGAGCGCGGCCCCGGCCCGCGGCGAGGCCTCAGAGGGCGGCACCCGATGGGGCTCAGACCCACCCCGTGGGAGCCCCCCCCGCCCCCGGGTGCGGGATCCGGCACAGTGAGTCCCTCCCGCCGGCACAGAGCCCTCCATCTCTCCCAGGATGGGCGGTTCAGCGCGGCCGGCAGATGCCAGCTCTGTGCCCTTCTCCCGTCCTCTCCGGAGTCCAGGTCTGTCAGCGCCCCTTCCACCTGCCGGACCCTCAGCCAGGCGTCAGCGTGCTCGCCGTTGGGATTCTGAGAAAGTGTTCTCTCTGTTCCCTCAACACGGCATCTTTAAGGTTACTTTTTGCAAACGTCACGCGTTTCACCTGTTTTTCTAAAGAGTGTTTACCCCGATACCCATGTTTACCCTACACACACTCACACACACTCACACACACACACGCTCACACACACACACTCACACACACATTCACACACACACACTCACACACACACTCTCACACACACACACTCACACACACACACACACACACTCACACACTCACACACACACTCTCATACACACACACGCTCACACACACTCACACACACACACTCTCACACACACACACTCACACACACACACACTCACACTCACACACACACTCACACTCACGCTCACACACACTCTCACACACACACACACTCACACACATACTCACACACACACACACTCACACACACACACTCACACACACTCTCTCACACACACATTCACACACACACACACGCTCACACACACACTCACACATGCTCACACTCACACACACACACACACACACTCACTCACACACACATACACACACACACTCACACACTCACACATACACACACACACACACACACTCACACACACACACACAGCTCTTGTCCTCACTCTGGCTGGAGTCACACAGCTGGGCCTCCTCCTGGAGCACAGACTGTGCCCCTGGGAAGTTTCCCCGAGGGGATGGGCCTGTCCTTCACTCCCTAGGGCGGGGGCGGGGATGGCATTCGGACGGAGCACAGGGAGGACACTGGGGTCCCGGCCCGAGGAAGGTGGGCAGGCACTGACCGGCGGGCGGTGCGTGTGCGTGCCTGGGAGGGAGTGTATTCCTCAGGCCTGTCCTCCGATCAGAAAGATCACATTCTCTATTTCCCCAAGTTATATCTCATTTCTTTATTTTTTAAATATGTTTTTATTGATTTCAGAGAGGAAGGGAGTAGGAGAGAGAGAAACACCAATGATGAGAGAGAATCACAGATCAGCTGCCTCCTGCACGCCCCACAGTGGGGACCGAGCCCAGAGCCTGGGCACGTGCCCTGACCGGGAATGGAACCCTGACCTCCTGGTTCGTAGGTCCAAGTTCAACCAGAGCCACGCCTGGGGCTCGTTTCTCTGGGGCTGGCTCCTCGCCAGGGAAGGTCTGAGCGGCGCCCTGGCTGTTTGGGTATCTGACATTCTTCCCAGGGGTTCGGGGAAGGCTGGGCCTGAGGGAGTCACCGGAGCCCGGGCCAGTGCGGGCACATTCCTCGCCGCTGGGATGGAGGAATGGAGGCTTCTGGAAAGTGTGGGCAGCAGCACTGACCGCCGCCTCAGGACGCGCAGGAGTCAGTCATCCTTAAAGTTTAAGATCGCGGCTCCCCCGCCGGGTCCCGGTCCCACAGCGAAAGGACCCGAATCCGGTCACCGGGTCCAAACCGGCTCCTAACGGAGAGGGAGCGCGGCCTTCCTTCCCCGCCTCCTCCGGAGGCCCGGCCGCCGCCCGCAGAGGAGGGGCCCGATCCACCGAAGCCCAGCAAACAGATCGCTGCTCCCCGGCCGGGCCGCTGGGACCCCGATCCGCTGGGACCCTGGGCCGCTGGGACCCCGGACCCGCTGGGACCCCGATCCGCTGGGACCCGGACCCGCTGGGACCCCGGACCCGCTGGGACCCCGGGGCCGCTGGGACCCGGACCCGCTGGAACCCCGGGCCGCTGGGACCCCGGACCCGCTGGGACCCCGGACCCGCTGGGACCCGCGCGGAGAGGTGACCGGGCGGCGGGACGGTGCCGCCTCCGGGATCGTCAGGGATCGGCGTCCCCGCCCCCGGGCCCCGGGCCAGCGCGCCGGGCGGGCAGCTCCGCGTCTGCGGGCGGGGCTGAGGCCGGGCCCCGGGGCCAATGGGCGCGGGGCGGGGCGGGGCGGCCGGGCCCCGGGGCCAATGGGCGGGGGGCGGGGCGGGGCGGAGCGGGGCGCGGGGCGGGGCCGGGGAGGCGGGGAGGCCGGCGGCGGCGGGGCGGAGCGGGGCGCGGGGCGCGGGGCGGAGCGGGGCGGCGGGGCGCGGGGCGGAGCGGGGAGGCCGGGGAGGCGGCGGAGCGGGGCGCGGGGCGGGGCGCGGGGCGCGGGGCGGAGCGGGGAGGCCGGGGAGGCGGCGGAGCGGGGCGCGGGGCGGCGGGCGGCGGGCGGCGGGCGCTGGGATGGAGGAGCCGCTCCCGGCGGGGGGCGCGGGCGGGGACGGCCCCTGCGCGCTGCTGCCGGCCGCGGCGCTGGCCCTGGACGGGGACGAGGACGACCTGGAGCTGTTCAGCAAGGTGAGCCCGCGCCTGCCCTCCCGCCCTGCGGCCGCGGGGCCGGGCCGGCCGTCTGCCGGGCGGGGCCCCTGGTCTCCCTCCTCCCGGCGGACCCGGGGCCGCGGCACAGCCCGGGCGGCGCCGGCCCCCGCCCCGCGCCTCGGCTCCGGCGGCCGCCCGGCCGGGAGGGGCTGGGCCCAGAGGAGGGACTTGATTTCCTGTCCCGGCTGCGGCGCGGCGCTGGGGACGCCGGGTGCCGCTCAAGCCCCGGGAGAGGCGCCGGGAGCCCCTCTGCGGGGCGGGGGACGGTCCCGGGTCCGACAGGGCGCTGCCTGCGGAGCCCGGGTCCCGCCCGGGCACGGGCCGGCCTCCGGCCTGTGGCGCGGGCGGAGAGCGCTGCTCGGTCCGGCAGAGCGCGTGGACTGTGGACACGGCTGCTGTTTGTGAAGAAAAACGCCTTTCTCGGTGGGAGGCGGAGGCTGTCACCCCAGCTCCTCACCGGCTGCCCAGGTGCGAGCAGAACACACGGCTGCATTCCTGGCCCGGACGCCTGGGAGGGGCAGAGGGTGCCTGAGGGGCCACACATGTGACCGGAGCTTCATTGCGGGAGAGCCACGGAGGGAGAAGGGGCCCAGGTAGACTCAGACCCAGAGAGGAGGAAAGTGTGGGGGGACACACAGGCAGGCCGGGCGGCGGCCCCGTGGCGGCCGGTGGCGGCCCTGTGCCTTTCCCGCGAGTTCCCCTCGATTTACCAGGGCGTCCATTGAGTGAACCTGCCTCCACGCCCCCCACGCCCTCTCTGTCCGGTGAGGGGCAGCTGGCCGGCCTGGGAGGGCACGGTCAGCCTAGGAGTGTCCCGATGGCTCCACAGGGCACGTGTCCAGCCCGGGAGGGGCCTCGGGTGGGAGTGGCCCCGCTGTACCACCCGGGAGCCTCCTAAACGTGTCACATGACTTCTTGTCCCAGATTCGGAGCGGCCCCGGATGTCCTGAGCCCGTACGTGGAGGCGGATCTCAGGGAAGCTGATGGGGTTGGAGGTCCCAGTATGGGGTGGCAGGGCCGGGAACCGTGGGCCGTTACCAGGCTGTGGGCGGTGTAAGACGGTGCATGCGGGCCGTCCTGTGGGTCATGTGTGTATTGTAGGTCCGGGGTCCCCTCCCACCCCCCCAGCCTTACAGCGGGCTCAGCGTTCTGGGGAAAGGGCTGCACGGAGGTGATTAAGGAGCCCGTGGACGAAAGGTAGTTTTGGAAGCATCGGGGGTCAGAGGAGCTTCCGCTGAGGGAGCTAGAAGGCTCTCCTCCTTGACCAAGGACCGGTGCTTTGATTAAACACAGTTTGTCCCGAGGCGAGGTGGAGACATACACTCCAGAGGGTGTACAGAGATTGTCCGCTTCGGGCATAGCCTACAGTTTGGCCAACAGGAGGCAGTGAAGTGCCCTGAGCTGTCTGGCAGTTAACAATCCTATTCAGGTTTGGGGGAAGTGCCTTAGCCGTTTCCAAACAGGCCAATTCCATGGGACTCCACCCTGCCGAGCTCCCCACGCTTCACCCACGTTTTGGTAAAACTCTTGTAATTACCACACGCTGGAATTGCATGGATTGGGGTGGCATTGGTTCACAAAACCATCCCGGGTTCAAGTGGCATCTGGCCTCCTGCCACAGCCTGGAGGGACCTGGAGAGCCTGTGCCGAGCACAGTCAGCCAGACAGACAGACAGCACCGTGAGCTTCACGTCTGAGTGGAGCCTAGTGAGCAAACTGAACTGACGGACGGATGGAATCTGAGCAGACTCCTGGGTGCGGAGACCGGCCTGGCAGCGGTGGAGGGGAGGGGTGCTGGGGTTGGGTGAACAGGGGGCAGGATTAGGGAAAAAGGAGCAGGTGCATTTCTGAGTGCCCTCTCCTTCCATCGCCTGCAGCTGTCGGGGCCAGATCTCCAAGGCGCCCGGCTGCGTGGAGGTTTCTTCATGCTAGCCAACATTTGTTCCCCACTTAATGTTGTCCTTGTCCTTATGCATCTTCTTAAAAGGACAGGGCCTCAGCCCCATCCCTGGCCCAGCTGCTTGTGAGTGCTTCCGGCTCCCTGTCAGGCCCCCAGGAAGGTGAGGAGCCGCCTGTGGCTCTTGGGCTGCGGGCACCTGGCCCCTCGGTTTAGGAAAAGACGTAACAGTGGGGAACGTCCGAGAGGCGCCGGGAAGCATTGAGATTCGCTGCCCGTTTACGCTAAGGTGACCGGACGTCCCGCTTTTGGCGGGACAGTCCCGATGTTTAACAACTTGTCCCGCGTCCTGCGGCGTCTTGAAACAGTCCCAATTCTTGGAAAGAAGGTTGGGTGTGGCGGGGATACACCTACAGCCGCCCGGACGGACCGAGTGGAAATTATGGGAAACTCCGTGGTGGAGCCCAAGGAGGGCCGTGAAGGCACCGGCTAGAGCCAGACCCTTTTCCTTGGAACAGCGAAGGCGGTGCTTCTGGGCTGCAGGAGTGTGTCTTGGAGGCTGTGTGTGTGTGTGTGTGTGTGTGTGTGTGACGGGGTGACTCTGCTCCTGTGATTCATCCCATGTAGGCCTCTGGCTGCTGAGGACGACAGGGAGGGGCCTGCTGGCGTTCCTGCCCCCAGGCTGAGTTCCAGGTCCCACAGAAATGCGCCTGGAGTGCAGGCGTGGCTGCTCTCGGGCCTCCCTTGGAAGTTGGGGGAGAGGGGGGCCCAGCCTGGCCTCAGAGGCCGCAGGCGGACGGGCTGCATTCCCCGCTGGGCTGGGTGTGCAGAGGCGGGACCACAGTCATACTTTCCACCCCGGGAGCTCTGAGTAATGGCCGCCCCCTGCTGAGTCATCCCTACAGCCACAGGCGGCTGGGGTTCCCTCACGTCCGTGGGATCCCCATCCAGGGCAGGAGACCCCTCCCGTGGATTTGGCGTCCGTTGGTTTTGAGTGTCTCTGGCAGGTGGAACAGAACATAGCTGCGCATGTTACATGTGTTTTACATGTATGAAGGAGCCCTGCCCGCCTTTCAGCCTCCACATTTCACTTGTTCTTGCTTCCACATGCAGCCACCTGCACCGAGCTGGTTACAAACATTCGTGAGTGAGTGAGTGTGTGTATCTGTCTGTCTGTCTGAGGATAAGAGAAAAGGCACCATAAGAAACGCAGTGTGGGAACCCAGCGAATTACACACACACACACACACACACACACCCAGCAGAGGTCAGGGCACCTGTTTGTGTCTGATGCCACGAGAAAGCTGCGCAAAGAGAATCCAGGCGCCATGTCCAGCCATCAGCATATATCCTGTTCCTTTTCATGGCTCCTGCCTTTCTAACGATGGCTGGAACGTTAAAAGGGCTCTCAGTGCCCGCCGGGTCGGGACTCCGGGTCCGAGGCTCCAGGCTCTCGGTCATCAGGAGCCCAGTGTCCTCGCAGCCCCGTCCTCTCCGGGCGGCTCCTCCGCCCCCTGGCCAAGGCCCCGCCACCGCCCGGCAGCCGGCCTCCAGCTTCCGAAAACGGCAGCTTCGCTCGGTCTCTTCCAGGCTCAGGCCTCTGGGTCCGGCTTGGTTTGTTTTTATCTGATTGTGTCATTGCTGATGTCCGTGGGGTCCTGAGCGGGCGCTGAGACAGAAACCTGCGCCCCAGGGCCCTGGTGCCCCGGGCAGCCCGCCCCTCCGCCCCCCCACCCCCCCGGGTCCCAGGGCAGCGGGGACCGGGACGGAGGCCCCCGCCTCCCCCCCACAGAGGCTGACGCTCGGTTCCTCCCCAGGATGCCTCCCTGATGGACATGAACTCTCTGAGCCCCACCATGCCCACGTCCCCCTTGTCGATGATCAACCAGGTCAAGTTCGAGGACGAGCCGGACCTGAAGGATCTCTTCATCACGGTGGACGACCCCGAGAGCCACGTCACCACCCTGGAGACCTTCGTCACGTACAGGGTGGCCACCCAGGTGCGTGCGGGCGGCGGGCCCCGCGGGTGGCTGTCCCCGGACCCGGGACGTGCCGCCCGCTCACCGGGAACCCGCAGTGTCTTGGCTGAATTTATCCGTTTTTGTTTTTGTTTTTTAAAACCATTTTGGGTAAGATACTGCATTTTGGGGTGTAGATCGCCTGAGTCCGTTCGTCCTGAACTCCCGGGTGCCCAGGTTTTATGGGGCGACGTGGAAACGAAGCATTTACAGAACAGCTCCCAGGGGAACTGGTAATGAACCTGTGCGTATGTGCTGGTCACACAGAGCTGTTCAATAAGTAGATAGAGATATATTTTTTAAAATATGTTTGTTTATTTATTTATTTTTAGGAGGTGGGGGAGGAAAAGGGTAGAGAGATAGAAACATCAATGATGAGAGAGAATCATCGATCGGCTGCCCCCTGAATGCCCTCTACTGGGGATCAAGCCCACAACCCAGGCTTGTTCCCTGACCAGGAATCGAACCCGTGACCTCCTGGTTCATAGGTCGATGATCCACCGCTGAGCCATGCCTGCCAGGCTTCAGTAAACATATTTTAACGAGTGACTCTAAACTATGTTTTGTGTGCATATGTGTGTTCACGTGTATATATTTGCATATGTATGTCCACATATCAACTCATGGATATTGTTCAACTGCCTCAACTAGATCTAGTTTTCCTATTTTTAGCATTTCTATAACCTGTCCTGTTTTGCATAATAGCTAAGATTTTGTAGTGTTCTGTGAGCATTTAGTTCTTTAGATTTCTGCATCTCACTTATCCTTTTTCACTAAAAGGGGAATGTTTTCCTGAGCTGCATTGTGAGGGATTCCAAACATGCATTTTAAAAGATTAAATCTTGGAAAGTATAGCTTAGGGAAGCCTTATTTCACAGCAATTAAGGTTGCTCAGCTCTTGCACGGCTCGATCCTACAATTGTGCTTATCTGCGGGGTGGAGTGTGGGACATGCATGCCACGTATTATTCTGTTCTTCAGAAAAATCTCAACCTTCCCAGGACTGACTGTGATTTTTAAAAATATATATATTTTATTGATTTTTTTACAGAGAGGAAGGGAGAGGGATAGAGAGTTAGAAACATCGATCAGCTGCTTCCTGCACACCTATTACTGGGGATGTGCCTGCAACCAAGATACATGCCCTTGACTGGAATCGAACCTGGGACCCCTCAGTCTGCAGGCTGATGCTCTATCCACTGAGCCACACCGGTTAGGGCGTGTGATTTTTAATATGCAAAAATGCAGCTACATAGGACCCTGGTGGGAACGGCTGTTTTCCTGAGGGGCGCATGCGTGAGGAGGTCTGCTTTTGTGTTTGGCTCGGGGTTCGGCCGTGGAAGGGAGGTCGGTATTACACCCGGCTGGCGTAGCTTTATGGTTTGCTGAGAAGAGATGTTTGAAGAAGGGATTTGCTTAGCTTTTAGGAGCTCAGCATAGACCTCAAAATAGCATTCCTTGGGAAGGACGGGAGGATTGTCTCTCCACATCAAGCCTCCTTTAATGACACGTTTGAAACAGCGGGTGAAATCACCCCGTCAGATGCTGGAATGTTCGCAGACCAAACGCGCGTTTCAGCCACACGGTGGGTGGGAGCATATTCGGGGAAGCGTTGTTCCTGGGTTGTGTTCGGTCCCCTCCCACAGGGCACCCCGATCCCGGAGGGGAGGCCCGCGTGTCAGCCTGGGTGCGGGGCGCAGGCTCCCGTGGTGGCTGCGTCGGGGAGGGCGGGGGGCTCTCGCCCAGACCCCCCGTGCGGGTCTCAAACCCGAGCGTGGGGTTTGCTGCCCGCTGGGCCTGCCGAGCGCGGCTGTGCTTCCCTGCTCCGCGCAGGCTGCTGGTGAGGCCGCTGCCCTCGGGGTCCAGCCGGCCGCGGGCCCGTCCGGCATCGCCCGTCCGCTGCTTCCTCCGCAGACGTCCCGCGGGGAGTTCGACGCCAGCGAGTTTGCGGTGCGGCGGCGGTACCAGGACTTCCTGTGGCTGAAGGGGAGGCTGGAGGAGGCCCACCCCACGCTGATCGTCCCGGTGCGTCCGCCCCGTCTCCCCCACCACGGCTGCCACCGTGTCCTGTGAACCAGACTCCAGGCCTTTCCATTCCGGGAGTCCATTCTTCTGGGAACATCCGTTTTACGCGTTTCCCCCTAACTCCAGATTTGCTTTTGATTCTTTAATATTTTTTAATTGATCTTAGAGAGGGAGGGGGAGAGAGAGAGAGAAGCATCATAGATGAGAGTCATGGGCCGGCTGCGTCCTGCATGCCCCACCCTGAACCGGGGCCTGTGCCCGGACTGGGAACGGAACCCTGACCTCCCAGTTCCCAGGTGAGACGCTCACCACTGAGCCCCACAGGCCGGGCCCCCTTTGCGGTTCTAACTGTCTCCTGCTGACGCTTTGTCGCGTTTGGACTTAGCGTGTGCACTTGTAATGTGTCTTCGCGTGAGTGCAGGCATGTTCCCGTGGCCTGTAACACGGCACGTGCGGCGGTTCCCCCCGCCCCCGCCGCTGAGCGGGCGCCGCGCTCACACAGGTCTGTTTGCCGCAGCCGCTGCCGGAGAAGTTCGTGGTGAAGGGCATGGTGGAGCGCTTCAACGACAGCTTCATCGAGACGCGCCGGCGGGCCCTGAGCACGTTCCTCACCCGGATCGCCGACCACCCGACCCTCACCTTCAGCGAGGACTTCAAGGTCTTCCTCACCGCGCCCGACGGGGTAACGCCTCGGACCCGCACCCCTGCCCCCTCCTTCCCGGGCAGAGGCCGTCCCCTCCCTCGTTGGCCTAATTGATAAGCCAGGCAGCAGGGCCCTGGAGTTAAGAAGGATTTTTTTAAATATATATATATAGATTTATAGATTTCAGAGAGGCAGGGAGAGGGAGAGAGAGAGATGGAAACATCCGTGATGGGAGAGAATCATGGATCGGCTGCCCCCTGCACACCTCCCACGGGGGATGGAGTCCCCAAAAGGACCTGTGCCCTTGACCGGAATGGAACGTGGCGCCCTTTAGCCCGTAGGCCGGCGCTCTGTCCACTGAGCCACACCAGCCGGGGCTGCAGCAGGGTTTTTGAACACGGGAGGGACAGCCTGCAGGGGTAGCCCCGTGTCAGGTCTCCACCCAAACGCCCCTCCCTCCAGCGTGCGGACGCCCCCCCCCCTCTTTCCCAGGAGCTGTCGGCGCACAAGAGGCAGGGCCCGGGGCTGCTGAGCAAGGTGGGCCAGACGGTGCGGGCGGCCGCCCTGGCCCTGCGGGGAGTGCGGGGCCGCCCCGCGGAGTTCGAGGCGATGAGCGGCTTCCTGGAGGCCTTCAGCCAGAAGGTGGGGCTCCTCCACAAGGTCTCCCAGCGGATCTGCAAGGAGGAGCGCGGTACGTGGCCGCCGCCGCCGCCGAGCGCCTGCAGGGCCAGGACGGGGATGCGCTTCCGTCCCGCCGTCCGTCCGCCCGTCCGTCCGCGGGGACCGTCCGCCTTCCGTGCACCGAAGAGGTTCTGTGTATTTACTTGCAGAGTACGTGGACGAGATGAAGGAGCTCGGCCCCATCCACGCCCTGTGGGCGGAGCTGGAGGAGGACCTGGCGGACACACTGCAGGGCGTGGCCGGCTGCCTGGACCGGTGCTGCCAGGCCACCGAGCGGCGCCTGCGTGGCCTGGCGGAGGCCCTGCTGCCCGTCGTGCACGAGTACGTGCTCTACGGCGAGATGCTGATGGTGAGGGCCCCGCCGCGGCGCACCCCGGCCCCCGGCCCCCACCCGAGCCTGAGCCGCAGCGGCTGTGTCTGCCTTCCCCGTCCCCGCGGGCCGCCGCGCGTGGGCAGACGGCGTTGTCGCCCGCCGTGCGGTGACGGGCGGGAGATACAGGCTTCAGCCCCTCCGTGCCCCCCTGCGTGGTGGCCGCCGCTACCCGACACGTCTGTGCTGTGGCCGCCCCGCCGATGGCCCCTGTTTTTCCCCCGCACAGGGCGTCATGAAGCGGAGGGACCACATCCAGGCGGAGCTGGAGTCCAAGGCGGAAGCGTTGACCTACAAGAAGGCGGACACGGAGCTGGTGAGCTCGCACGTTCCGCCCTGGGATGGCGTCAGCCCGTGGGTTACCTGCGCCTTTCCCCGGTGGCCGAGAGGGCCGGTTACTGCTTGGCTTGCGTGTTCAGCCAGAGGCACTGCCACTTCTCCCCAAGTTTCTGTCGCTCCTGCCGAGTTCTCTAGGAAAGAGACTTGGTTAGTGTGTGTGTGTGTGTGTGTGTGTGTGTGTGTGTATACATATATGAGTGTTGAGGACACGAGTGGCAGGTGCGTGGGGGTGTCCGTGGAGCCCCAGGAATCCATAGGGTTCTGACCCCCATCCTGCCTGCGTCAGAGGGTCCCTCATTGGAACCATTTTCCTACTGAAAAGAGGCTGTCCTTCCTGTTTCTCGCAGCCCCCCTCTCTCTCCTTGTCTGATCGAGCCCCTCGGGGCAGGGAGCTTTTATTTGTCCCCGGCGGCTCTCAGCCCGCATGGCGCGGGCACCGCGGTCACTCAGTGGGCATTTCGTGGGGGGATGCCCGGGAACCGTGGGGAGATGTTGGCACCTGGAAGCCTGGAGTCTCCACAGGGCAGAACCCCGAGACGTGACTAGGGGGACAGCGAGCTGTCCTCTGCCTTCCGGGCGGGTTTCTCTCTGGGCTGAGTGTGTTTTCCAAAGTCAAGTTCTTTACCCCGAACCGGTGTGAGGCACTGTGGGCTGCGTGGGCACCGGGGGAGAGAGAAGCACAGGAGAGCAGAGGAGCTAAGCCAGGCTGAACCCTTCCATTCAGCCAGGGGTGTGTGTGTGTGTGCACGTGTGTATTTAAAGAGTCCAGTAGAAGGAACAAGAAGGGTTCCGAAATAGCATTCTTGTCTTTTGAACTGTAGAATTCTTTTATTTGTTAAACAGTTTTTAAATAGATTGAATTAGCGACGAGGTACAATGTTGCGTTGACCAAACCCTAGAGAAGGGGCGTTAGCGTTCAGGAGCAGAGCACAGCTTGGCGGCCATACGTCTGTTCAGAAGGAGGAGGTGCCGGGATCCTTCCCTCCCCGGAGTCCCCGGAGAAAGCCCGCCATGTCCAGCTCAGCTTTCCCGCCTCACCTAAAATAGCCACTTTTTTTTTTTTTCCCCATTTGACTTGCAAATAGTTTGTCTTTTTCCTATAAAAGTTTCCTTGACATCTCATTCTAACCTACTGATCCATCTGTATTTCTGACCCATTTTTGCGTTTGCCAGGGCTGGCATAAAGGTGTTTGTTTTTGTTTTCTCCTGGCCAGCTGCTCTGTTGAGAGAGTGGAGAAACTTGCAGTGCTCATTGTCTGCATGGCATCCCTAAGATGCTTTTAATGAACTAAGATGTGAAGCGGAGAGATGGGAGCAGAGCCGTAGCCATCAGGGGGCCTGCCTGGCGTGCAGGGCGCGTTGAGGGGTTGGGGCGGCGGCCTCTGGCATGGACCTCGCCGCAGAAGCCCCCCACTGGGAGGGCATCTCCGGGAGAGACCTCCAGGAGAAGCTGGCAGCAGTGGTCCCAGCACAACGGAAAGGAAGTTGCTTAGAAAGATGCAGGATGGCATCGCCATGGAAACGCACCCTTGTGAGGTCCTTTGGAAGGAGCCATCCTTTGCAGTCGCCATGGCGACCCTGGCAGAGAACTGAATAGAGCCACCCAGCCCGGGCGCTCACCATGGCAACTCAAGCAGGGCCCTGTAGAGCCCACCCCGGGGCCGTCTCTATGGCGACCCCGCCGAGCTGCCTCCAGAGCTCATCCCAGGCCCCCGAGGGTGGGACACCCACGCGAACCTGGCTCAGCAGCTCAGCGTGAGGTCACTCACACGCAGCCCTCCCAGGACGGGCAGACCAGGGCGCTGTAGTGGCTGGTGGAGATGGAGCCCCGATGGGAGAGCCAGGTGGACGGGGAGGGGCCCCTGGAGATACACATGTGGGGGTGCTTAGAGACAGGCAGCGTTCACAGCAGTGAGACGTGTCGGGGTCACTGGAGGGAGACTGGAGGCCCCTGACCACACCACGGCACTTCCCGGCACGGAGGGCCAGGCCAGGGTGTCCGGTGCGAAGGGAGGCAATTGTCGCTTCGGCTGCTGGGAGGAACCTGGACCAGCAAGATGAACTGAACGTGGAAGGTCATTCGACTTCTCTGACCCACTTCTCCTGGGAGGCCTTTCTGCAAACAGCGGGCCGGGGACAGGGGCGGGCCGGGGACACGGGCGGGCAGTAACATGTCCCAGAGAAGCAGAGGGCTGTGTGATGAGCCCTGTGAAGAAGGTGGAGAGGAAGGGCAGCGATGGCCCCGAGGGGCGGGGGTGTGGGGTGTGGGCGCCGTGGTCTCTGCCGTTGGGCTAGTTCTCCGGGCAGAGCTGTGTGAAGTCGCTCATTCCCTCGCCGCCTCCCCTCGGGGCCTCCGCGGTGCAGATGCTGCGACCGCTCCGGTGTTATTTTTGCTTCTGAAAGGAGTTGATGGTGTGCCACTCAAGGAGCATTCAGCTTAAGTGCCTGTGAATGCCCCTGACACTCAGCATCCTGTGCACAGGACCGAGAGGCGGGTCTGGGAGCGGCGCCATCGCGTTGGGCAGGGTGAGGATGTGAGTGAAAAGCAAATGTGATTTCCATAAGACCCCGGCCTGGGGAGCGGGAGCCGCGCTCCGTAGCTGCAAACACGCGGATTTGTTCTCCCGGTCCTTGCTCGGTGGCGTGCTCGGTGAGCCCGAGTTCTCTTACCTTCAAATCGCGGTGGTTCGTCTTCTGACGCCTCGACAGTACCCTGCCCGGCAGCACCGCCTGCTCGCTGAGCGCCAAAGAAATGGTAATATTGACAGAGCGTGCGTGTGCGTGTGCGTGTGTGTGTGTGTGTGTGTGTGCATATGTGCATGCATGGAGGGGGGCAGAGGTTGCCTCTACCTGTTCCCAGATATTCTTTCTTTCCTTTCTCTCCCGACCTTTTTGCGAATGTCCTTCTTCCAATTGGCCTCATTTCCCAGAATCAGTTCTCTCTCTGCTGCTCTTTGTCTATTTGCATCTGTGTGTGTGTCAGAGACGCTGGTACACACGTGTCCACGTGCGTACACTCACCCGGTGTGTGTGAGAGAGACGCTGGTACTCACGTGTCCACGTGTGTACACTTACCCGGTGTGTGTGAGAGAGACACTGGTACACACGTGTCCATGTGCGTACACTCACCCGGTGTGTGTGAGAGAGACGCTGGTGCTCACACGTCCACGCATGCACACCCACCCGGCAGGGAGGGCCGTGGCGGACGTGGCCTGGGGAGAAGGGCCCTCCTCTCGCTGGTGGCTGTGAATCGCACACCCCAACATTCAGTGATGCTCAGAGCAGCAGTAACCCTTGGGCGGCCGAGGCCTGGAGGGGGCTTAGTGCTCGTACTTACACGTGACCTTTCTCAGACGCTAATTCCTCTTTGTCCGCAAACACGCAGGTACGATGATGCTGGCTTTGAATAAAACGCTTTGGAGGTGAATTAACGCGAGTACAGGCAGAGCTAGTGTCAGTAAAATTTTGCTGAGAGGAAAAAGGTACAAAAGAAGAATCTACTGGAGACTGTATAACGGCATCATCAAACCCGTTATTTACGCCGGGCGGGACCCTCTTTCCTGCCGAGGGCAGACAGAAGGATGGGCTGGAGAACCCACCTGCTCCCTGTGGCCACACAGTGCGTTAGCGCACCCTCCGGCCCGGCAGAGCCAGGCCCGGTGGGTTCTGGGGCTGTGGACGGCCTGAGGGCTGGGTGCCCCCCCTCAATCCCCCCCCCCCACTGAAGGTTTGAATCCTCTCAGGGATTCAATAATAAAATAATTTATGACAAGGCCATCGTACAAGGCCGAGAAGCTCAGATTTTGGCTTCAAAATGATTTTGAACCTCCACGCGACCTTAAGATAATCCAGTGTCTTTCTCAGCTTAGATGACGCCCTTTAGGAACAAATAGAGGAAATTATTATCTATAAGAGGTTAAAAGACCTTGAATTTTCTAAGCAGATACATTTTTTTAAAAAATACGTTTTTATTGATTTGAGAGAGAGGTGGGGAGAGGGAGAAAGAGACAAACATCGATGAGAGAGGAACACCAATTGGCTGCCTCCAGCATGCCCTGTATCGGGAATGGAGCCCACCACCCTCACCCCCCCATCCCCACCCCGGGCCTGTACCCTGACCGGCAACCCTCTCAGTGCCAGGCCAAAACTCTACCAACCGGGTCACACTGCTAGGGCACATGATTCTCTCTCCAAGGGTTTCTCTCAAGAGGACTCTTAGAGGCAGTCTGACGTGACTCCTCTTCCGTCTCATGTATTGGGGGCGCCCCCTGTGTGTAGAGGACTCAAAGGAAAGCATGTCCTAAAAGGGGGCCCCAGTGTTGGAGGGAGTCACGGGGACCCTCTGTTGAGAGGTGCTAAAGGCGTCGGGTCCTGGCTGGAAAGGGGACGTGTCCACGGCACCTGTGCTGTTTCTGCCTCCCTTGTTACATGGCGTGTCACTGCCTACCTTCCACTTCGAGCACAAAGTCCCCATGGGCAGGGGGGACGGGGGGGGGGGGGGGGTGCCATCGGCGAGGAAGGTGCTGCTCAGTGCCCCCACGGCTGCCTCGGCCTTGCCTAACCGGAGCCTCCTCTCCACCCCTCTCCCCACGCTCAGATCAGCAAACAGCAGCGGTCCCCGCTGAGGCCTCAGCCGCCTGCCCTGTGATTGCTCTGTGAGGGGGGTGAGGGGGGCGGGGGCGGGGAAGGGGGGGGCGTCAGATCTGAGTCGGCTATTGTCTCCTGGCAGAGGCCCTTGGAATCTTTTTATTTAAGCGTATTGTTTTCAAGAACGTTTCTGCGTTCTGGCTCTCCTGATTATGAAGAGATTTTTAGCGCTTGAATAAATAGGGTGGTTGACTTTATTCCATAAAAGGAAATAACAGAGAAGCCATTTCACAAACTAACAAGGTCCCCCTCCCCCAGTCAGAATAGCTGTGGTGCCCAGATTGTATTGTTCCCCTCAGAAGCGTTGGTGCTGTGTGCCTCTGGGGCGGGGGCAGGCCCGTTGCAAGTGTCTGTGATTGTATTTATTTATTATTATTTATTCATGAGAAAGAGACAGTGACTTGTTCCACGTATTGATGCCCCGACAGGGGGTTTGAACCCGTAACCTTGACCTATCGTGATGTCGTTGCTCTCACCAACTGAGCTGCCTGGTGGGCCAGGCCTGTGTTTCCGAGATATTTTAAGTAAAGAAAATAGACCTTGGGAAGGCGGGAGGGAGCAAGCCTCGATTTATTACCAATATTTTTCGGCCTGGACTCGCCGCTCAGTGGCCGGAACCCACAGACCCACCTCTCTCTCTCTCTGTGTCCGTCCCGTCCAGCTCCGGGAGGAGGTGGGGAAGCTGGAGGACAAGCTGGAGTGCGCCAACACCGCGCTGAGGGCCGACTGGGAGCGCTGGAGGCAGAACATGCGCCACGACCTCACGTCCGCGTTCACGGCCACGGCCGAGAGGAACGTCCGCTACTACGAGCAGGTGACCGACCGGGCTGGCGCCCCCTCTCCGCCCCCGCCTGGGCGGGGAGAGTGGGGAGGAGGCAGGCGCCACGTTCCAGGGCCTCTCGGTGGCTCGGTGCCCGCAGACTGGCCAGTTCACGGGGTGACGCCGAGCCCGCCGCTGAGACGCGCGTGGGGATGACCAGGGAGGGGTGTGTTTTCTGTCATTCTCTCCCGCACAAGCCCCGGGGGCTCAGGCAGCCGAGCGCACCACGCGAGGGCATGCCCACGTTTCCTCTGTGTCTTTCTCCTCGTCTCTTGTTCTGGAGGATCCGGATTCCTGATGAGCACTTGATAATGCTTCCTCACCGTCTCCTCCCTCATTTCCTCTTTCTCTCCTTTGAAATATTTTAATAGACTTCAGAGAGGAAGAGAGAGAGATAGAAACATCAGCGATGAGAGGGAATCATTCATCAGCCACCTCCTGCACGCCTCCCCCCGGGGATGGAGCCTGCAACCGGGCCTGTGCCCCAACCAGGAATCGAACCCTGACCCCCTGGTTCATAGGTCGATGCTCAACCGCTGAGCCATACTGGCCAGGCTCACCCTTTCTTATGTGATAAAGGGTTTGCAAGAGGAAAGAAAAAAAAAATCAATTTTCTTAGAAACAATTCAATTAGCATCACGTACCATATTGCCATTTTGCAAGTTTAACATTTACCTCCAAGTAAATGACAGTTCTTTTTAAATTTTTAAATATTTTTATTGTGTTTTTAAAATTGATTTTAGAGAGAAAGAGAGAAACATTGATGTGAGAGAAAAACTTTGATCGCTGCCTCCTGCAGCCCCAAATCTGGACATGTGCCCTGGCCGGGAATTGAACTGGCAACCTTTTGGGGTTTGGTATCATGTTCAACCATCTGAGCCACACCAGCCAGGGTGTCGATTATAATTATAATTATAACGAGAGGCCTGGTGTACAAAATTTGTGCATGGGGGGGTGAGGGAGCATGTCCCTCAGCCCAGCCTGCACCCTCTCCAATCTGGGACCCCTAGAGGGATGTCCGACTGCCCTTAGGTCAATTTGCATATTAGGCTTTTATTATATGGTATGTGTGAACTTTATTATACCTTCAGAAAAATACCCCCAGTTAGTTTTTTCCCAAGTAACTTCTCAGTGGTTGCCAGGTCAGTCCCAGCCCTTCAGTCCAGGCTTGCTCCCTCATTGGCACACACTGTGCATGGGCCTGGACCGCCTCCCACGCCTGCTGTTGTCCGTTAGCTTCAGCATCCCTCAGACACGCAGGGAAGTGGAATGCTCCAGAATCGTCCCATTCCCTTTGTGAGTTTAATCACATTCTTATGGAGATTCTTCTTTTTTCATCAACATTTGCACAGACAAAGCCCCAGCGGGGTTTGTTTCCAGTGTGATGGATGAAATACAGAACGCACATTTGCCTCTGGACTTACTTTTATGAAGACAAATTGTCACAGCTGGTTTATAACATAAAATTTAAATACCAAAGTGATCGAGGAAAATCAGATTATGAATACAAGGCAGAGGTCTGTACCAGAAGCCAATTACTGTCGTGCTTGGATGTGCGGATTTACCCAGAGGCGGTTGACAGCGAATATAAAGCAGGGATTTTATAAAATGAGGTCATTCCCACTTTGTCCTGTAGGATCGATAAGTAGGATGCACTTATTGAGTCTTTTCTTTTTTTTTAATGAGAAGAGCAAAACAATGAAACCTCAAATCCAGTTGGACGTGAGTGAATCGTTTCAAAGTCGACTGGTACCCAGGTAACTGGTACCCAGGTAACTGAGGAGAGCCTTTCCTGCCGCCGTGTGGAGGGAGCACAGCCACAGCCATGCTGGGTCAATGTGGCCGTTTCCTAGTTGTTCTCAGCGGTAGCCGTTTGTGTCATTGATGCTGATGATAGAAATGATGGTGTTAGAGATGCTGAGACAGAGATGCTGATTTCAGAGATGCTGATGACAGAGATCTGATGACAGAGATCTGATGACAGAGATCTGATGACAGAGATGCTGATGATATAGAGATGCTGAGATAGAGATGATGAGGGCAGACCTCACGTGATGGGCTTGCTGTGAGTAAAATCGATGCTGACACGATGCGGCAAAAGTACACATGGAAGAGAAATGCCCCTGGATTGGCCCTTCCTGTGAGACCGTCCATGTGAGAAGAGAAGCGGAACAAAGGAAGTCCCTGCTCCTCTCCAGCAGACCTGGAGTTAGAGCGGGCTCACAGGACAGAGCAGTAAAGCAAGGGGCCGCCAGGTGGCGTGTCCAGCCAATGAGTCCTTCTGCCTCCACCCTTGCAGTTTCTGTCTTCACCGAGGCACACGTTCACTTAGTAGATTCTTGAGAGAGAAAGAAGCAATTTTAAGTTATTGGCATTCCTAAAGTCGTACGTTGGCAGACGACTCTAATTCTCTGTCCCTCTTCCTTTGTCTGTAAAAAATCAATAAAATATATTTTAAAAGTCAATGGAAAAATATGCTCTGATGAAATTAATAGAGTGTTTTTTAAAAAAAAGGAATTAATGTGTGTGGAACACGCCGAAACCGGTTTGGCTCAGTGGATAGAGCATCGGCCTGCGGACTGAAAGGTCCCGAGTTCGATTCCGGTCAAGGGCATGTACCTTAGTTGCAGGCACATCTCCAGTAGGGGGTGTGCAAGAGGCAGCTGATCGATGATTCTTTCTCATTGATGTTTCTAACTCTCTATCCCTCTCTCTTCCTCTCTGTAAAAAATCAATAAAATATATTAAAAATAAATAAATAGAATGTGTGGAACAGGACAGGGGTCTGGTAAGCTGGTGGGAGAGGCGTGGGCGGGGGCTGTGGGCGGGTGAATGCTGACCGGAGCCACTGCTCACTCCCTGTGTGTTCCCTCCGCAGTGCCTTGCCACGTGGGAATCCTTCCTGGCCGCACAGAGCGACCTCTACGCCAAAGAGCCCCCTGAGGACAAGCCTTAGTGCCGCGGCCGCCAGCTTCGGTGGCCCCGGAGAGACCCACCGCCTGGCCAAGCGGTTCCCTCGGGATGGCCGTGTCCAGCAGGGGACGGAGAGCGCTCCCTTCGGTCTGGGGCGCCGGCGGGCGGGAGCTGGGAGCTCAGATCGCTGGTGTGAAGCGGGGTGTGTGTGTATCGCCCAGTTTCCATTCCGTTCTTCTGTTGGTGTCCCACAGTCCGTGAGATGGAGAATGCTTTGAGTATTTGTCTGTGGAACATGTCATTCTAAATATATTATAAAGACGCAATTTTAATAAAACGTTTGATACAAAAGGACGGGCTGTGGCGTGTTCTTTTTCTGCAGAACCGGAAGGAGATTCTAATGTGAATTCAGCGGACAGCCACCTTGACCTCATCCCAGCTTCCTGGAGTCCGCTTCTGGAGTCCTGGAGTCCTGGAGTCCGCTTCTACCTGAAGTATCGATTCCAAGGTTGGGTGGCCATCGCTTTTAGGTGCTCTGTCAGAACCATCTGAGATGGTCACGTCTTCTGAAACCCTTGGCCTGAGCTATCGCCATCCATGCAGCCCCTCGGTGCTAAGGCGCTGACTGCACAGACACTCCCCTGCTGACAGGTGTCCTGCCCGCCGTCTGGGTGGCTGGAAGCAGTAATGGTCAGTTACAGAAGGGCCGCCAGCCCTCAGGAGCTTCAAGGCCCATGAGGAGACAGACATCGCACACAGACAGCAAGACATCTCCATGGAGGCCTGCCTGGGTCCTAGGGTCGCAATAAGAAAGTCCCCCTCAGGACAGCAGGGAAGGGCAGTTAGGGGTGAATAGGTCACCAGGGGAGAGCAGGGAAGAACAGTTGAAGGCGGCCAAGCCGACAGTGGAAGGCAGTTGATGGGACCGGGCATGCAAGGGAGGGTAGTTGGGGGGGGGGAGGGCAGGCCTTCAGGGGAGGGCAGTTGTGAGGACCCAGGGCTGCAGGGGAGGGTAGTTGTGGGTGACCAGGCTGACAGGGGAGGGCAGCTGGGGGGCCCAGGCTTCAGAGGAGGACTGTTGGGGGGGGGGGGCCAGGTCAGCAGGGAAGGGCAGTTGTGAGTGACCAGGCTGGCAGGGGAGGATATTTTGGGGTGACTTGGCTGTCAGGGAGGGCAGTTGGGGGTGATTGGGCCAGCAGGGGAGCAGTTAGGCATCAATCAGGCTGATAGGTGAGTGGTTCAGGGATGGTCCTGCTGGCAGGCAGAAGCAGTTAGGGGCAATCAGGAAGGCAGACATGCAAGCAGTTGAGAGCCTGCAGTCCTGGATTGGGAGAGGGATGTCTGACTGTGGGTTCATCAGCCTAAACCCCAGAGGGGTCCCAGATTGGAGAGGGTGCAGGCTGGGCTGAGGGTGCACCAGGCCTTTAGTTTCATTATCATCTGCCTGCATTTCGTTGGAGACAGCTCTTGGGGGAAACTCAGTCCAACCACAAATATATCGGGGAGTCAGGGGCTTATAATAGGGGTGCAATTTTTATTCTCTCTCTGCTCAGTCTTGGCTGCGGGCTGCCAGGCACCTGGAGCTCCCCGAACAGACGCTGCCCTTTGAGCGTGCTGGGCCAGGAGATGCCCTGGTCCAGAGAACGTGCCATCCGCCCACGCTGGTTTGACTGCTTGAGGTTGTATCTTATAAACTGCTCTGAAAACGGCCGCTTTATCCAAAACCGCCAACGTCTGCACTGAAGGTGCGCCTTCCCCATTGGCCCCACAGGCGCCGGGTGGCCGATGGAGTGTCTCCCCCACCAGCCGGGTAGCCGGACCCTCTGCTCTTAAAGGGCCGGAGCCGCCATCACAGAGGACGCGTGGACACGCCTCATGTCAGGAACGAACGGAGAAGAGAGGTTCCCGGGGGCCAGGCAGCTGTCGCCCGCAGGGTGACGAGCACGGGTGTCTCCTGTAGGGCAGTGGGAGGAGGAAACCGGAAAACAGCGCCCACAGGCACCCACAGAGCTTGGTCCTGTCATCGCTCCCCCCGGCATGACGCTCGGCCCCGGCTGCTAAGGGACCCGGTGGACAGACAGACAGCACGTCGCCTGTTTCGTGCGGCCTCGGGGCTCAGGGAGGGTTTGGCAGCAGGTGTTTCAGGCCAAAACCACAGCGGGGTCTCCTGGGGTCACTGGTTCACACTGCACGCCAGGCAGTGGGTGTACGTGGCTGCTCTGGCCACTAGGAGGAGTTGCAGGCCGCTCCATCCCCGGCTCATCCCCCAGGACTCTGCTCACCAGCCGCAGCCAAAAGCCTTGGCATCTGGCCCGGCCAGTGTGGCTCAGTGGGAAGTACGGGTCCTCCCAGGAAGGTCTGGGCCTTGAATGGAGGTCTCATATCTAGACCGGGATCTGAGCCTTGGGGGTCGGTCTAGTAACTAGAATCTTTCCAAAAATCAGGATTTAAAAAAAAAAAAACTAAAAAAAAAACGCCGCAGGACGCGGGACAAATTGTTAAAAATTGGGACCGTCCCCCGAAAGCGGGACATCTGGTCACTTTAGACTAGACTGCATATTTAGATTCCAGGAAAGGAATAGCCAGTGGGTTCTAGTCTGGTCCCTGGAATGGCCTTCTGGTCCTCGCCATAAAGGTCTAAGACCCAGATGTAGATCTGAGCCCCGGACGGAGGTCTGGGTCCTGGGAGGGAAGTCCAGGCCAGGAGGGAAGTCTGGGCCCCTGGGGGCGGTCTGGTACCTCACCTGGACATCCGGGTTATGGAAATGGTGTCTGGGTTACGAATTGAGAAGAATTCCCCTGATACAAGACGGGATTCTGTGTCTGAGGCCTGGGCCCCGGGATAATCTTCTCGGCCCCGCCCTGATAGTCTGGGTCCCGGATGTAGGTGTGAGCCCCAGGTGGAGGGCTGGGTGCTCTACCAAGGTGTGGTCACTAGGGGGCGCTGTAGGCCCAGGTGGGAAGTTTGGGGCAAGAGCAGGACCTCGGGATGATGAAATGCTGGTCAGGACTAGCCGGATATTTGGACTCCAATTAAGAAATAGGCACTGGCTCCCAGTATTGTTCTCTGGAATGGCCTCCTGGTCCTCGCCATAACTGTCTATAATAAGGAGGTAGGTCTGGGCACCGGACAGAGGCTGGGTCCTGGGCGGGCCCTTGGGGCCAGGGAGGGATGCCTAAGCCTCTGGGGTCTGTCTGGTACTTCACCTGGACATCCGGGTTATGGAAATGGTGTCTGGGTTACGAATTGAGAAGAACACCCAGGATACAAGACGGGATTCTGTGTTTGAGGCCTGGGCCCCGGGATAATCTTCTCGGCCCCACCCTGATAGTCTGGGTCCCGGATGTAGGTCTGGGTGCTCAGGCAGGGTGTGGTCACTAGGGGGCGCTATGTGCCCAGGTGGGAGTTTGGGGCAAAGGCAGGTATGATGAAATGGCTGGTTATGTGGACTCCAATTAAGGAAGAGGCACCGGCTTCCAGATGGTTCCCCAGAATGGCCTTCTGGTCCTCGCCCTAATGGTCTGCGACCAGGAGGTAGGTCTGGGCCCCGGACGGAGGTGTGGGTCCTGGGAGGGACGTCTGGGCCCCTGGGTGTGTCTGGCACCTCACCTGGACCTCTGGGTTATGGAAATGGTCTTCATGTCACTAACTCCTCCCGTGAAGAGGAACCCAGCGGTGCAGGGTGATGGGGGGCGGGGCGGGTCTGGGGTGGGACTTGGATATGGTAGGGCCGGGATAAACTGAGTGAAACGATGAAGGTTTAAGGAATGAATCCCAATTTATAACAGTATTGATTCCGATCAATGGCCACTCGGACCCTTTACAGACAGCTGGTCCGGCTCCCCTTGTGTGGGTGCCTCCCCACGTGGTCACATTCAGGCAGGGCCAAGCAAGGCCAATCAAGGCCAAGCAAGGCCAATCAAGGCCAGGCAAGGCCAATCAAGGCCAGGCAAGGCCAATCAAGGCCAGGCAAGGCCAATCAAGGCCAGGCAAGGCCCAGTGTGCTGTTGTGCCTTGGGCAGTGGGAGGCGCTCGGAGGTGGTGTGTATGTGTGAGGGTCTGGGCAGACCAAGGGCCGGCCTCTCTCCCCGGGCTCTCATTCCGTGTGTGTGTCAGCGCCGTGCTCCGCGCCATGCCACCCCTGCCAGTCGGGCAGGGTGCCGCGTGCCTGTTAACTCTAGGTGCAGCCGCAGTGCCCTCGGTGGACGTGCGTGTGAACCAGGAAGAAACGGAGCACTTGGGGCTGAGACGGAGGGCTGGCTGGTCCTGTGGGGGAATCCAGTGGAACCCGCCTGAGTACGAGGCCCCAGAATGGAGCTCTGACCAGTCTCAGGACACTGCCATCAACGGGAGTCCGGGCCATCGCTGGACCCAGCACCAACCCCGCCCCCCGCTGCCCTCCAGCTGCCCCGTTCAGAAGCTGCCCGTCCACGGCCACGCCGCAGTCGCCCGGAACCCACGTCCAAATAAATAGCTTTAATTATGGTACATTCCTGATTACAGCAGACACGGGCATCTCCCCTTCCGAAGCAGAAGCACCAGTCTGAGAGGGACAGAGAACGGTGTGGTCGGGGGACGGATCGGACCACGTGTGCACACGGGGCTGGCCCAGGGCACACGCTCAGAGGAGGGCCGCTCGCACACCGAGCTGGGCGGGGCGGCCTGGTGCCACGCGGCCGAGGAAAGTACACGCCCTCGTGGCGCTCGGGGCCGCCACGTGGAGGCCCGGCCTTCTCCTCGGCCTTCCGACGTGAACGGTGACAGAGCGGACGGGCAGGACGGAGGGCCCCTCAGGCAGGCGTGACCCGTGTGTGTGTGTGTGTGTGTGTGTGTGTGTGTGTGTGTGCGCGCGCGGCGGTTTCTGTTCCCGGGGCCTCGGGGATTCTGGGAGGACCCAGGGCTCCCGGGCCCCGGTGTCAGCCGAGCGGCCCCTGTGCGCCCGCCGTTAACTCTAGGGGGCCCGGCTGCCTCGGAGGAGCTCACAGTCCAGGGGGGGAGACGGAGACGCTGACACGGACTTTACACGGAGGAGAATCATCGGACAACGGGAGCCACTCCTGCGCGGCCGGCCGGACGCTGGGCGCTAGGAGTGGACGGTGAAGAGGGACGCCGTCCAGTGCAGGGACGGCCCGGCGGCCTCGGCATCATGTGACTTCCGCGAAGGCGGTGATGTGGTTCTGCGGGGAGAGAGGGAGGAGTCAGGTCTGGGCGGGAATCGGCGCCTCTGCCAACCGTCCCCACCGAGCGGACGGCCACGGTCCGGGGGCGGGGGGGGGGGGGGGGGGGGGGGGGCTCAGGCTGCACAACACACACGGGGTGCGTGCAAGCTGTTTCCTTCGGACATTTTTAAAAAAGGTGTGTGGGGAGCCCGGCCAGCGTGGCTCAGGGGGCGAGTGCCGACCTCTGAACCAGGAGGTCACGGTTTGACGACCTGCTGGGAAGCGGGTAAGAAACAAACTGGAGGCCCCTCCCTCGGCGCACGGTGGGGAGGGGAAGGCGAGGCGGCGGCGACGGCTAAAGAGGAAGGGAAGGAGTGAGAGAGGGAAGAGAGGAGGGGACAGACGGTGCGCGGGCGGCCGGTGCCGGGTCCCCTGGGCCCGGGAGAAGGAGGTGGCTCGGGGCCAAGAGCAGGCGCGGCCGGGCCGGCGTGGAGGGCGGGACCGCTGATCGCCGATTGCCGTGGGCTTTGCAGGACGCGATGGTTCCTCTCCAGCCCGGGCGGCTCTCCTGAGGCAGCTGGAGGGGACGAGCCAAGGACTCCGGTCCTCCCTCCCCTCCCCGCCCACCAGGCCAGGAGTCCGCAGCACAGCCCCTCCCGGCCCTGAGCGCCGGACAGAGGGCAGCGGGCAGCGGGCCGGGAGGGACGTGTGCGCCGGCTGCGTCCCCACCAGCACCTCCTCGGGGACGTGAGAGACAGAACCGCGTGGGACCCCGTGTGGGGAACGGGCTCCCCGGACACAGGGCCGAGGGGTCTCCTTCCCATCCGGCTGCACCGCATCTTGCAGCAGCCGATCTTACGAGAGAACCGTGCAAACACGCAGGGGCCACGCCAAAACACGCAGAAACCACGACAGGCAGAGTCCCGAGGAAAGGAGGCCCTCAGGGCGTCCCCCCAGAATGTGCGCCCCTCACGGCGGACGGCTCCGCGGGCGCCTCTCTCTTTCGGGCCGAACGCGGTGCAATGGATAAGCGTTCAGTGTAGGCATTTTCGGGGGGGGGGGGGGACACCCTGCGTACCATGTACCAGTTCGACGGCTGCTTCTGCGTCACACAGTCAGAGGCTTGGGGTCGGGGGGCAGGCAGGAGCCAGAGCTGAGAAAGTGCTGCCCCCCTCAGAAAGCATCGCCCAAGTTCACAGCAAGTCCACGAGCCAAATACCAAACCCGGTCCCTGAGGGCAGAACCCAGGTGGAGGGAGCCAGCACCGGCCCCAGAGCAGCCCCAGAGCCCCTGCTTCGGCCAGTGCCGAGGGCCAGGCAGCTCGCCAACTTCTGAGGGTCTGTGCTCTCCGCGAACATCTGTATCCCAGCCCTGGCTGGTGTGGCTCAGTGGAAAGAGCGTCGGCCTGCGAACCAAAGGGTCCCAGGTTCGATTCCGGTCCAGGGGGCATGCTCGATCCTCAGTAGGGGGCGTGCAGGAGGCAGCCATTCAATGATCCTCACTCATTATTGATGTTTCTCTCTTTCCCTCTGCCTTCCTCTCTGAAATCAATAAAAACCTATTCAAAACATAGTCTGTCTTTCACTCTGGTGATTTCAGACAGCTCTGTGTTTACGCACGACCCGCAATATGGGGGTGACTTGCCACCAGACAAGGCATGCCACTGGCGGTTTATTTATTTGCCTTTGGAAAAATAGGGGGAAATAAAAAATAAAAAAAAGAGTAATTCATGTAGGAAAACAAGAAAAGCCATTCTAGCCCGGCCAGGTGGCTCAGAGGTTGAGTGTTGACCTAGGAACCAGGAGGTCACGGTTCCATTCCCGGTCAGGGCCCAGGCCCAGGTTGCAGGCTTGATCCCCAGTGTGGGGTGTGCAGGAGGCAGCCGATCCATGATTTTCTCTCATCACTGATGTTTCTCTCTCTCCCTCTCCCTTCCTGTCTGAAACCAATAAAAATGTGTATGTATGTGTGTGTGTGTGTGTGTGTGTGTGTGTATATATATAATATTTATATATATATATATATATATATATATATATATATATATATATACACACACACACACACACACACAAGAAGAGCCATTCCAGCGAGGGTGTTGGGCCGGGCATGCTGAGCTCCGCTCATGCGTGCACGCTCAGTGGAAGATAAAGGAGAATGGTGACCGGACCCAGACCCTTTGGGAGCCGTGGGCCTGCCCAGAGGGACGCGTTTCCGTATTTGCCTGAGCTGTCAGCTCAGCTCACACCAGTGTGCGCGCTGGGCGCACCTGCGTTTATTGCCTTAATCGGAGGTGCTCCCTGCAGCCCATCTCCAGGAGCCAGCCGAAGAGCCGAGCCAGGCAGTCCTTGAAGGGCCTCCCCTGCGCGTGCTCGTCGCCGCCCTCCGCAGGCTGGCCGCGGGACACCTACAAAACGCAGCGCAGCCATTACCGGGCGCCTCTGTCCCTGTGACTCACTCCGCGGGGCAGGCTGAGTCTGACGCCCTGGCCCCGTGTTAGGCTGGAGGCTGAGGTCAGGCACGGCCTGTCTCCTTCCCTTCCAGCAGCTCATAAGCAGCCTTTGTGTTTGAACAGGAGGCTGGCAGCGTTGGCGCAGGTTTGGGGCCTAAACAGAAACCAGGCTCTGTGCGTCCATGTCTTCTATTCAAGGACTCCGTCTTCGCTCGGCCTGGGGAAGCTGTGTGGCCGGTGGGCTTCGGCGTGTTTGCATGTGGGCCCCAACCACAGCATGTTCACACGCAATGCAGCCTCTCTGAGACCCGGCTCTCTGGTCCGTGCAATGGGGGGAAGACCATTTACACGTGTGTGTGTGTGTGTGTGTGTGTGTGTGTGTTAATGAAGAGCAAGTGAGATCATATACACACACAAAGGCCCTGGTCTTTATAGGCGTCTGTAAAAGCCAGAGAGAGCCTGACCAGCGTGGCTCAGGGGCTGAACATCGATCTATGAACCAAGAGGTCCCAGTTCGATTCCCAGTCAGGGCACAGGCTTGGGTTTGGGCCTTGATTCCCCAGTGGGGAGTGTGCAGGAGGCGGCCAATCCATGATTCACTCTCATCATTGATGTTTCTCTCTCTCTTCCTCTCTGAAATCAATAATATATATATATATATATATATATATTCACTTAAAATATATTTTATTGATTTTTTGTTTTTTAAGAGAGGAAGGGAGAGGGATAGTTAGAAGCAGTGACGAGCTGCCTCCTGCACACCTCCCACTGGGGATGTGCCCAAAAGCAAGGTACATGCCCTTGACCGGCATCAAAACTGGGACCCTCCAGTCTGCAGGCTGACGCTCTATCAACGCGTCGTGCGGGAGCAGAGGGCGCGAGGAGGGCGGGCGGAGAGTCCACGGTGCGCCCTGCCAGCGACTCCTGCAACCCGCGTGCTCTGACCGCCTCCCTGACCGCCGGCCGCAGGAGCCGGGATCCGCAGATGCAGCCGGCAGCTCGCGAGCCATTCCCTCCGCAGAGATGAGCGGCATGGCTTGTGCTCAGAGGTAACTTACTGAGAAGGTGCTTTCACTGTTAGATGACGCTGAAAAACACCCGGCTTTTAGCCTGTTGCAGAGAGGATTACAGCTCGCGAACAGCGTGGAGAGGGAAGCGCTGGGTGTGGGGGGGCACACACAGGGAAGAGGACACGGCAAACCGTAGCCACGCGCGTGTGTCCTCCAAGCCTGCAATGCTGATGCCCCCTGGGGCGTTCCACTCCCCTTTTCCAGGGGCTCTTTAACGCGAAATGGAACGAGGCACAGCAGAGCCGAGCGCAGCCCGCCGGCGCTGACGGACAGCAAATACGTCTCCGAAGCTCCGGCGAGAAAAACTGGCGAAAATACGAGGAGACTCAGTTCCTCGAACTATTCCAATAGCTGGTCCCTAATAACACGGTTCTGACAAGCTCCTTCGCAGCGTTTCCGTTACAGCTCGGCAGCTCAGGAAAACGAAGCTCTGCCTTGGAGAAAAGCAAGCACGACGTGGCTGGATTCCCAGGCGTATCCGTGCCAGCGTGCGGAAGCCTCAGAGGGCCTTCTCCCAGGCAGCAGAGTCACGGTAATCCCGCTGGCCTTGGCAAGGAACCACAGGGCTGTGTTGCTGTTGCTATGACACTAATCTACTCGGCATTTTTTTTTTTTTGCTATAAGACTTCCTGCCATATGCTCTACGCATGGCACAGACAATCTGCATAAACCTTCAAGTCCACAAAATAGCTCTGTGGGGTATCCCAGTGCGAAATACAATGGAAATCCTAGTGAGGGAGTCATTCGTTTTCCAGGAGGGAGCTACTTTGATTTATCACCAACTGCGTGCCAAGAAGTTTGTGACCTGTCATTTCAAACAGAGTGTGTGTGTATGTGTGTGTGTGTATTTTATTATATGCAAATATGCAAATATGCTAATATGCTTTTTTTGCAAAGTGTCCCCTAAGGAGTTCAACCAGGGACCGGGAGTTCGACTGCTTGCTATAATGTGCGCTGACCACCAGAGGGCGGTGCAGAATGAAGGAAGGCCCCGGCTGGCAGCTGGAAGGCTCCCGATTGGCCCTGAGTGCCGGCCAGGCTTAGGGACCCTACCCGTGCATGAATTTTGTGCACCCGGCCTCTGGTTACCCTATTAAGGAACCATAATTGTACCCATTTTTCTCAGGTAAGGAGAAAAGGGGGAATTTGTCTGATCCTACTTAGACTTTATGTAGCCTAGCCAAGCCTCCACCCCAGGGCTGCCCGCACCTGCAAAAGCGTGGCTCTCCCCCCTCCTCCCCTCCCCCTCTGCCTAACCTGCAGCTCAGGCTTCACCTTGACCCTGTGATGTTCTAACCTTCAAAACAGCCCGTGTGTTTGCTTCGCTGGGTCATTGCGAGTCCCCTCAGAATATTCCTAGCCATGTAATCGCCCTCCACGGTTGCCACGGGAACGGAACATGGTAATTTCCATCCGTGACGGCACACACTCCCTGGCATCCCCCGCTCTGGGGTACCGTCCTCACGGCTCGCCACCTGCATTCAGGCGGCGCCAGTCTCAGCCACGGGGCGCTCTTACACGCACAGCATCTTGGGTAGTCAGGCTGGGGCCCTGTACCGGAACCGCAAGGCTGTAATTTGCAAACTATTCCTGGCATTCGCTCCCCTTGCTTGTCATTGGCAAGGAGGACTTCCCTTTGTTTCAGTGAGATCACCTCAACCCCCCAAAAAAGAATTATGTTCTCGAAAAACATTTCTAACCGCTGATTTACCGCTCAGCGTTATCCCCAATGGCCGGGCGTGGCTCCGGAGGCCTGGCCTCACTGCTAATAAAGCCTGTAGATACCAATTCCTCTGAGATCGGTTGGAACTATCCCATGTTCTATCCAATCCCACCCATGGCTTCCGTTTATTTTGAAAGGTTTTTGGGAGGAGAGAATGCCCCTTCCCTCAGACGTTCTGTACGGCAGCCGTTGGGGTCAATAAGGCACAGGCATGCATGGCTGACGTGTGCTCGCCTGTGCGGAGCTGAATGCCGCCTTACAGGAAGGACACATGGAGGCAGGAGAGACAGGACAAGCGTGCCCGGCTCTGCTGCTGCCGTGACAGCAGCCTGACTCCGGGGCTCCCTGCCATTAGGTCTGGGCAAGAGAGCCCTCTGAAGGGAAGGCAGGAAGTAGGTGAAAGGGCAGAAGGTGAAAGGGCAGTAGGTGAGAGGGGAGAGGGTGAAAGGGCAGAAGGTTAAAGGGCAGAGGGTGAAGGGCAGAGGGTGAAAGGGCAGAGGGTGGAAGGGCAGAGGGTGGAAGGGCAGAGGGTGAAAGGGCAGTGGGTGGAAGGGCAGAGGGTGAAAGGGCAGAGGTGAAAGGGCAGTGGGTGAAAGGGCAGAGGGTGGAAGGGCAGTGGGTGAAAGGGCAGAGGGTGAAAGGGCAGAGGGTGAAGGGGCAGAGGGTGAAGGGGCAGTGGGTGAAAGGGCAGAGGGTGAAAGGACAGAGAGTGGAAGGGCAGAGGGTAAAGGGGCAGTGGGTGAAAGGGCAGAGGGTGGAAGGGCAGAGGGTGAAAGGGCAGAGGTGAAAGGGCAGTGGGTGAAAGGGCAGAGGTGAAAGGGCAGTAGGTGAGAGAAGAGAAGGTGAAGGGGCAGAGGGTGAAAGGGCAGAGGGTGAAAGGGCAGAGGTGAAAGGGCAGTGGGTGAAAGGGCAGAGGGTGAAGGGGCAGAGGGAGGAAGGGGAGAGGGTGAAGGGGCAGAGGGTGAAGGGGCAGAGGGTGGAAGGGCAGTGGGTGAAAGGGCAGAGGTGAAAGGGCAGTGTGTTTGCTGGAGGGCGATGGGTGGTTCTCAGTGACCCCGCCAGCAGCGGCTCCTGTGCCCCGGGGGTCACTGAGCGGGTTCAGGGGCCCGGCCCTGGCTGCCCCGGAACGCACCCCCCACCCGCCTACTGCTGCCAGGACCTGGCGGACGCGCCCTGTCTCCGTGATGAGCAGCACACGCTGCCCTCTTACCGCACAGGGGCTGCCGACGAGGACGTGCCCTAAGCCGTCCTGGGAGAGAAGCACATTTCCGCATTCGCTGGCAAACCTGCTCCACTCGACCGCAGGCCGGACCGTCTTGGTCACGGCCGCCTGCCCACGGAGGAGGGAGAGGGACGTGTTGTAGGAATGAGCGCACGTCCTCCAGCTCAGCCCCTTGGTCTCTGCAGGAGCCCACCGCCCGGGCCTCCCCGGCGCCCCGCTCCGCACGGCCCCAGCTCAGCGGGCGGCGGGGCCGGGACCTCCCTTCCCCCCGGGGGTCAGGGACTGAGTCCTCGCTGAGCGCCGCTGAGGCGGGCAGCCGTCGCGGTGAACGGGAAGGGACTGCGGTGGCACCGGGGACAATGCTTCTCCGCTCCGGGCGAGGACACATCCCGGACCTCGCCATGACCTCGCCATGACCTCACCATGACCTCGCCATGACCTCACCATGACCTCGCCATAACCTCGCCGTGACCTCGCCATGACCTCACCATGACCTCATCATGACCTCACCATGACCTCGCCATGACCTCGCCGTGACCTCATCATGACCTCGCCATGACCTCGCCATGACCTCACCGCCGGCGTTACCTTCTCCAGGGGGCTCTCGGCCCGCGGGATGCTGATGGTCCGCGCGTGGGCCAGGGCCGCCCCGGGCAGGTGCTCGCTCTCGGGGTGCCTTCCTCGGAAGCTGTTCACCACGCACACCACCTGGCGAGCAGAGGAGACGCAGCGTGAGCAGAGCCAGGCCCTCTCGACACAGACCTTGGAGTCTCCGTAAGTCCAGTCCTGATAAGGAAGCACTAAAGCTGCTTGACTATGGCGTGTACGTGACTTCACCCCCAGGCTTCGCTGGTATAAACCCGAAACCGTCACCCCAGCGAGTGTGTTCAAGAAAATCCATCCATCTAGCCAGCGGCTGAGCATCACCCTAGGAACCTGGAGGTCAGGGTGCGATTCCCGCTCAGGGCACAGGCCCGGGTTGTGGGCTTGATCCCCAGTGGGGAGCGTGCAGGAGGCGGCCCATGGATGATTCCCTCTCATCGTGGATGTTCCCCTCTCTCTCTCCCCCTCCCATCCTCTCTAAAGCCATTACACATGTGTTTTTAAAAAATGCGTAGCTCCGTTAGTCATGACAATGTTACGATGTTCATTGGATTAGTTAACAGCCCATGCGCAAACGAATCCAAAAATAACGTCGTAACCTAATAAGATGCAGAGCGAGCAGACCTTTCCCGGAGTGGCTCACCTACAACGTAATTTAAATGCTAATTATTTCCCCTCGAGTCAAGGTCACGAAGCGCTCGCAGGAACCGCCCCACGGCTCACGCGCCTCCGCCTCCGGCTGAGCCTGGCTACTCTCTCCATCCTGTCCCGTGTGGACTGGGCATTTCCCCAGCAGCTCAGGCCACTCCGGAGCCGCAGGCCCTTCTCTGAGAGGGCGGCCCCATGCCAGCGGGTGCACCCAGGGACCCAGGGCCTCGGGCTGCGGCTCCCGGCCCCGCCTGGGTGACACCCCGGGGTTCCTGGGCGATGCCCTCTGTCTGGTTTGGTTTTGCTCCTCGTGAACCTGCCTCCATGCGGAGTGCGAAGGCGGCCCCGCGTCCATGGGCTGCTGGGCAGGGAGGGGGCGGGAGGGGGCGGGAGGGACCCGTCTCCTGGGGACTGGCTGGGGGAGCCAGAGGGACGGCATCGGGAGGAGAGCAGCGGGGCGCACGCTGGGGACGGGACACAGCGGCCCCTCTACACTAAGGTGACCAGACATCCCGCTTTTGGCGGGACAGTCCCGATGTTTAACCATGTGTCCCGTGACATCTTTAAAAAGTCCCGATTTTTTAAGATGCCGCGGGACGCGGGACAAAATGTTAAACATTGGGACTGTCCTTGCCAAAACTGGTTCGGCTCAGTGGATAGAGCATCGGTCTGCGGACTGAAAGGTCCCAGGTTCGATTCCGGTCAGTCAAGGGCATGTACCTTGGTTGCAGGCACCTCTCCAATGGGGAGTGTAGGAATGAGCGCACGTGGGTGAAAGGGCAGAGGGTGAAGGGCAGAGGGTGAAAGGGCAGAGGGTGAAAGGGCAGAGGGTGAAAGGGCAGAGGGTGAAGGGCAGAGGGTGAAAGGGCAGAGGGTGAAAGGGCAGAGGGTGAAAGGGCAGTGGGTGGCAGCTGATAGATGTTTCTAACTCTGTATTCCTCCTCCTTCCTCCCTGTAAAAAATCAACAAAATATATATTTTTTAAAAATCGTGACTGTCCCGCCAAAAGCAGGACGTCTGGTCACCTTACTCTACCCAGGGCGTCCCCGAGGAACGCCTCTCAACAGGCCTGGCACGTCTGGTTCCCACGCGGCCGGTCCCAGCGGGGCACCCCACGGTGGAGGCGGCAGGGAGCAGGGGACTGCGGAGCGATGAAAGGAAGCCGAATGGGAAGGGAAGAGCATCCTCTACTGTGTCACCGCGGAAACGGGCTGCGGTGTAGGTGGGCACAGCTTTCCATCGGGTCCAAGGTCCGCCACGCCTGCGGATGGACCGGGAACCCTGCAGCGGGCAGAAGTCATCTCCCAGCAGCCATCGCTACGAAGCGCTCCGGGGAGAGTTCCATCGAGGAGCGACGGCTCAGGCCCCATGTGCCCTCTAACCCCTGCCATGGCCGCAGGGAGGAGCCTGGCCTTGGGAACATGGGGTTTGGTTACCGGAGGGACCCAGACCCTGTCACCAGGGAGGGCCCCTGTTGGGGAGACTGTGGCTGTGACAGGTGCCCGTGCAGGGTGCTGGCACAGGGGCACCCACCCTTGTGGCAGGCTCCATCCCCGGTCCTGGTAGCAACCCATCGGAGTGTCCCTCTCACATCGATGTTTCTCTCCGCCTCTCTCTCCCTCTCCCTCCACTCTCTCTAAACACTCAATGGAAAAACATCCTCATTGAGGTTTGACAGCAGCAAACATGCCCCACGCCCTGCCAGTAACCGTGTACTCACCAGGAACACGGCGATCGAGATGCCGACCAGGAAGCCGGCGATCACGTCGGCCCAGTGGTTGCGGTGCTCGGCCACGCGGTTGAGGCCGGTGAGGAAGGCCAGGCACAGGAGGCCCAGGCACAGGACGGGCTTCGCCAGGCGCGTGCCCTTGGCGTTGACAGTGCTGGTGATGTACATCTGAAACGCAACAGAGACACGCTGTGCACGGGCAGGTCCACGCGGGCGCCACACACGTATGTATGTGCACATGTGTCTACAGGCGAGCACATGCCCACGGGGCTCAACCCTACATGACGTTCATTAATGCTCTGGAGGACGTTTCTTTAAAGCAGAATTTAAGGCAGAGGTTATTTAATTTATATGCCCCAAATCTACTAGTAGCGAATTCTTATGTGATATGTTCATTGCTCAGGAACACCGTGCTCAGCCATTCCAGGGGGCCTTGTGTTTAAGCATTCAGTGCTCCTGTTTCATATGAATTTACATTTTAGATCAACGTTGTTAGCAGGGGAACACCGAGGAAGACATGTTATTTGTTATTTTTATTTTATTAGAGAGAGAGAGAGAGAGAGAGAGAGAGAGAGAGAGAGAGGAACATCGATGTGAGAGAAAGATTGCTTGCCTCCTGTATGTGCCCCAACCGGGATTGAACCCAAAACCTAGGTACGTGCCCTGACCGGGAATCAAACCCACCACCTTCTGGCATACAAGATGATGCTCCAACCCACCGAGCCACACCGGCCAGGGCTGAAGACACGTCCTTAACATCTCCATTTCATACACCATCTGAGAGGACGCATACTTGACAGAAGCAAAACTTGTGGATATAAGTCGTAAAAAGTGAAATGGAGCAAACTTTTACTACATAGTACATTGAAGATGGAATTTAAGGTCCAACACGGTGCCAAGGCTTGTTTTTAGGTTGCTACCTGAAATTGCAATTTCAGGTGCAATGACTTTACATTTTATTGGCCACAATTAGGGCAACAGAGAAACTTAAATACAGACAGAAAATGTCAGCTAAAAACAAAACAATGAGCGGATGTGTGCCTATGTGGGATGCTCACATGTGTAAAACAGTGAGCAGACACGTACACCTGTGGTATGCTCACATGTGCAAAAAGAACATGTCAGCTGATGGTAGTGAGTGGCATGTCCTCCAGTGGCCAGCACGACGCTCAGGAAAAACTCATTCTTCCCCGAATCTGATGGATTCTCTAGCGCAAGTGCTCATCCTTTACCTCGTGTTACTATGGAAACCAGTCGGCTGACTGCAGGGGCGAGGCCGTTATTATTCACGTCACGTGAGGTGATGATAAAAGGAGGCTCTGACTGCCGCATGTGTTTAGGGTGTCGATGTCGGTACGTGGCCGATACCGATAACGCAGACTCAGAAACACACTTCCTGTGGTCCTGGGTCCAAGAGAAAAGGCGTTTGCCCACCATGGCCGGTGGCTCCATTGGTGAGAGCGTCATCCCGACAGGTCAAGGTTGTGGGTTCGATCCCCGGTCAGACCACTTATAAGAATCACCCAATGAGTGCAGAGATCAGTGAATCAACAAATCCGTGTTTCTCTCTCTTCCTCTCTCTAAAAATAAAAAATAAAAAAAGTTGCCTAAGAGAGGAAACAAGGACCGATGCTCACGGTGTCTGTTCCTAGCATCCATTTTAGAGGCTACGAAATCCCGCGATCATATTCTCTCCTGTCGCTGGTGATTGTGTTTTGCTTTTTCCTGGGCCAAGTCTGCGGCCCTGTTGGCTGTGGCAGAGGCTGTCTGATGTGAACAGCGATGTGACCCACAGCGTCTATCCTGCCAGCTTTCAGCCCATCTGCCCCAGGTGCCCGTCTACCCCAGCTGCTTATCTGCCCCAGGTGCCATCCCAGGTGTCCGTCTATCCCAGGTGCCCGTCTACCCCAGGTGCCATCCCAGGTGTCCGCCTATCCCAGGTGCCCGTCTACCCCAGCTGCTCGTCTGCCCCAGATGCCATCCTCCAGGGAGAAACAGATGCTGCCTAATCCGGGGTCGTGGGGGGAAGCGCCCAGGAGGGGGCACGGAGGGGACACGGAGGCGGTGGGAGGAGAAGACCCGCTGCCGCTGTCCTGAGAGGCGGTGAGTGCGCTGCCCACAGGGACATCCAGGCGAGGACACGGCAGCCTCGGCCTCCGGGGACGCACCTAAGGCTGCAGCCCCAGCTCGGCTCCTGCCCGTGAGCAGGGAGGGAGATTGGGGCTGCTTGTGAGAGTTTCATTCACACAGTGCTGAGGCTGACTAATGGATTTTTTTAGAGAGAGATAGGGAGGGGGAGAGAGAGAAACACCCATCGTCTGTCTCCCGCACACCCCCCGCAGGGGATCCAGCCGGAAGCCAGAGCGTGTGCCCGGACCGGGAATGGGACGGGGAACGGCACCGGGGACCTCTGGGTGCACGGGACCCATTCAGCCAGCGGAGCCACAGAGCCAGGCTAAGGAGCTCTCGTGTTGCATTTCTTCACACCTGTGAGAACTCTAAACACAGGAGGAAGGTTCCAGAGCTTTCCCTTATCCCGGGCAGGCCTTCAGTGCTCTCCGGGAGCCTGTGAGCCAGTGTAATGCTGTTATCTTTACAGAACGCCTGTCTGATCCGAACGGGCAGGAGAGGGAATCATGGCATAAGGACGGAGTGAGCGAGTTGGACACGGGGCAGGAATTGATTATTTATGCTCGCTTGGTTTTTAATTCACTTACGAAGCCATCTAGGCTAACCAGATGTCAAAATGCAGCTAAAACAAAGCACAAACAGGAGGGCCCAGAAGTGCTGGGAGTTCAGGAGACGTTGCAAAGAAAAGGGATGCAGAATGTCTCACCGGTATTTTCAGGCCTAACTTACGGGGGCAAAGGGCCTTAGACAGACGATTGTATTTGAGAATCAAGAGTAACCTTCCACCCTGGCCGGTGTGGCCCAGTGGATAGAGCATCAGCCTGTGGACCAAAGGGTCCCGGGTTCCACTCCGGTCAAGGGCACGTAGCTCGGTTACAGGTTCCCCCCGTGGCCTGGGCCCTGGTCGGGGGTCGTGCAGGAGGCAACCCATCGATGTGTCTCTCTCACATCAGTGTTGCTCTCTGTTTCTCCCTCTTGCTTCCACTCTCCCTAAAAATCAAGGGAAAAACATCCTCAGGTGAGGACGGACAACAACAGAAAAGAGTAGCCATCCTCTCTTTTGCAATGCCCTGGGGGGCGGGGATTGTAAGGGGCACCAAAGTGCTTCCCCCCATCGGGTCCTGAATGAGAGGCAGCAGGTGGAGTCGCACGTGGGAGCTGAGAACAGCCTCCGTGCTCTGGACCAGCCGGCTGCGCAGCGAGGGTCAGACAGGCCCAGGGTGGCGGCCGTCCCGGGATCATGGCCGATGGAGGCTCGGCCTGAGCAGCAGCCCCTTTGTGGCCCACACGGCTGCCCCGTTCCCACCGCGAGGACCTGGCTGGCTCCACGGGGGCCCATTCTCCCCCGCTGACCCCCTCTCCCTCCAGATAAATATACTGTCCCCTTGGCCCTTCGCCCATCGGCCAGGAGAGCAAGAGCCCTCGGAGGGGGTGCTGTCTGTCATCTGCAGAACGGAGAGCCACGCCCAAAGTGCTTCTTTATCTGGGACACGCGTGTTACATGGCTGCCTCCTGCACGCGCCCACGGGGGATGGAGCCCTCAACCCGGGCCCGGGCCCTGATCCGACAATCGCACTGCGACCTCCCGGTTCATAGGTCGATACTCAACCCCTGAGCCACACGGGCCGGGCTGAAGTCCATTTTACTTTCCCTGGGAAATAAACTTGACCCATTTTATAGGTAAACAGACGCCACCAAGCTAAATTTAATAGCATCCAATGCCACTCACACTGGATCACAAACTTAATGACGGAGGGTTCGGTAACCTTCAGAACGGTTTTCCCCTCTTGGGAAACCAGCTGTAGTTGCAGGAATGGGCGAAGGGATTTCCCCCTAAGAGTTCTCAGGGAAGGAAAAGGGAAGGCGTCTGCGATCCAGTTACCCCGAAGCCCTTCGGGAAAGCCGGGGGCTCCGGGAGAGACCCGTTCCTTCCTGTTCTTCCCTAAACCAGCAGGAGGAGCATCAGGCAGACACAGGTGCTCACCCGCACGCCTCGGCACAGGGCTCCCCGCTCCTTCCCCGCTCACAGCCGCTCCCCCTGAACGCGGGGCGCCTGTCCTCCATCACGGAATCCACTCCCTCCGGGATTTACCTACTTAGCACAACCTGGCAGGCGCTACCCGAGGCCGCCCTCGCCCGAAACACCCCAGCGCGCCTGTTAAGTCCCCCGAGCTGCCTCCCGGGGCGGGGCCAGATCTGCACAGGTTCCAGGAGAACAGCACAGCGGCTGGCGGTGCCCAGGCGGGCAGGGAGGCGGGCTGGGTTGCCATGGCAGCCGCCCACAGGCCCATCGCTCGGGGTGCCGGGGATGGGAGACGCTGCTCGCAGGGAGCAGCACCTATTGTTACAACGACAGCGAGCGGCTCCCTGCCCTGTAATTACCGGCCGCCCTGCGCGTGAGGTGAGGTTCCCGAGTGCCGGGGCGTTCCTTCCCTGAACGTCTCTGCCCTCTGAACCCCGGGCCTCTGACCTCAGGGAGGCCGGGACCAGGCGGGGGCAGGGAGGAAGGACCCCCTCTCTGGAACATTCTGAATCACTGATGTCGGGGCAGAGTGTGGTTCTACAGATCCGGGCAAGTCCCTTCGCCTCATCCTCATCCGTGACATGGGCATGGCGAGAGGGCGTGCTGCCACAGTGAGAGCCCAGAGGGTCAGTACAGAGGACAGATTACACAACTAATGACAATAAAGGAAGAATACACTGTAATGATGCCGACACAAGAATCCTAGCTAATAATATGCAAATTGACCATCAGTCCAACACACAATGGCTGCCTGCATCTGGCCACCACAAGATGGCTGGCAAGAAAGGGCAGTTGTGGGCAATCAGGCCAGCAAGGGAGGACAGTTGGGAGGATCAGGCCTGCAGGGGAGGGGAGTTGGAGGGGACCAGGTCTGCAAGGGAGGGCAGTTAGGGGTGACCAGGCTGGCAGAAGAGAGCAGTTAGGGGCAATCAGGCCAGCAGGGGAGCAGTTAGGCATTGATCAGGCTGGCATGGGAGTGGTTAGGGGGCAATCAGGCAGGCAGGGGAGTGGTTGG